GGGGGGGAGTTAGTGAATAGAAGTTCTTAATTTTAATGTGATCTAATGTCTCATTTTCCCCTTTATTGTTAGCATTTTTTGTCTTATTTAATAAAATCTTTGCCTGCCCAAGGTCATGAAAATATTCTCTTATGTTTCCTTCTAAAAGTATTATTGTTTCACCTTTCATACTTAACATCTTGGATCAATCTTGTTTTGTGGTGTGAAGTAGGAATCAAGACTCACTTTTTTCAAGATGACTATCTAATTGAAAAGATACGTTTTCCCCAGCTGCACTACAGTGTGATCTTTGTCTTAAGTCAGATGCTATTTATCTGTGAGTTAATTTCTAGACTCCATTCTATAGCAGTGATATATTTGTCTATCTTTGAGAATATACCACAGTATTTAGTTACTGCAGCTTTATAGTAAGTCTTTATATCTGGTAACGTACATTTGATCTATTTCTTCACATTTGCCTTGGCTATTTTTTTTTTTAAATATGCCTTTATTGATTGCAGAGAGAGGAAGGGAGAGGGAGAGAGAAATAGAACCATCCATGAGAGAATCTTTGATCGGCTGCCTCCTGCACGCCCCCTGCTAGGGATTGAGCCCGCAATGTGGGCACGTGCTCTGACCGGGAATCGAACCATGACTTCCAGGTCCATGGGTTGACACTCAGTCACTGAGCCATGCCAGCTGGGCGCCTTGGTTTTTTCCCACCCTTTCACAATTCTATATTAATTTTAGAATCAGGTTGCCAATTTACACACACACACACCTGTTGGTTTTTTTTTTTACTGAGACTGCATTGAAGTAGGAATCAGAATCAAAGTTCATTTTTTTGCACATGGATATCTAATTGTTTCATCACCATTTATTTGAAAAGATCTCCTGTTCCCCACTGAATTACAGTGGCATCCTTCTCATAAATCAAATGACTATAAATGCGGAGTGAGGAATCTCTGGGTCAAAGGAGCCCAGAACCATTATTATTTCCTTGCAATGCTACGGCCAAGTATTTCCACATTCCTTTTCTTAGATAGACAAGCACTGGACTTCAGTCCCACCTGTGGGCAGGAGAAGAGTTTCTGCTTCTTCTGTTCAGGCAGGTAACTCAGATATGACTCTCTGCTCATCACCAGAGGTTCCCAGCTATTGCTTTAGGAAGACGTCTCCGCTTCTAGATAATAGAAATTTTCTTTCTTGTTTTTAAATTGGCTATGTGTTTATTAATTTTTACAATATATTTTTAATGTGTTCAGTGCAGAAAGGAAAGGTTTCAGCATATCTTTCACCTGTCATTCAGGCCTGAAAGTAGAGCCCCTACTTCAAAGCATGGGTGTCAAGAATGCTTAGCCTGGATTCGTGAAGTGAGGCAGGAAACAAGAATCAAAACTGCAGTTCAGATGTAAACATCTTCAATGCCTGTGATGTGGACTTGATCACAACGATCCATGGCAATGGGGAAACAAAAGTAATCTCATTTTAATAAAACTCATTACAGTGTACCAGCTATCTCCATGACCTTGGAAGAGACAGACTCTCTGGTTCTCAGTTTCCTAGCTACAATCAAGTGGGTGTGATAAGCTAATGTATAACAATTTCTAAAGATTCCTTCTCTTATTAATTTTTGTAGTTTCACATAATATAGGCTTAGGCAAGATTTTATTACATTCTAAAAGTTAATTTCTGAGCCTGAAGGTATCAGCATTTCAGAGATAATATCAAAAGGAATCATCAAAATCATCCAACAAGGCATGTAAAAGAGCTTTGATAAATTCCAGGATATTTCAAAAAAGTAAGATGATATTATATATAATATGTTGAGATATGCATTCAGTATTATACATTCAAAAATGGTTTATGTGTAAAGGAGGAGTATGGATTGCTCAATGAAAAGGAGTTGATTCACCAGGGGAAACAGTGAGAGGAGGGAGGTGAGTACTCAGCAAAGCAACCACAACATTAAACCAACTCACTTACTTCACTTAGCATAATACTCTCAAGAACCATCTATGTTGTCACAAGTAGCACTATTTCATCTTTTATGGCTGAGTAGTATTCCACTGTGCGTGTGTGTGTGTGTATATATATATATACACACACACACACACACACATATATATACACACACATACTGCATCTTCTTTATCCAATAAACATCCATCAATGGATGCTTAGGTTGTTTTCATGTCTTGGCTATTATAAATAATGTTGCAATAAACACAGGGATACATATATCTTTACAAATAAGAGTTTTCATATTTTTCAGGTAAAACCCAGAAGAGGAATTGCTGGATCACATGGTATTTCCATTGTTAATTTTTTTAGAAACTTCCATACTGTTTTCCATAGTGTCTGCACTAACTTATATTCCCATCACCAGTGTACAAAGATTCCCTTTTCATATGTGGAATATAAAACAAAAAGTAACAAACTAACAAAACAAATTCATAGATAGTGGGTAACAGAGGAGAAAGGGGGTGAAGGGAGGGCAAAGTGGAAAAGGGGGTCAAATAAAGGGTAACAGAAGGAAACCAGACTTCCGTAATTAGATACAGATGTCGAATTATAATCTCGTGCACCTGAAAATTATATAATGTTATTAACCAATGTTACCCCAATAAATTTAATTAAAAAAAATAAAAAGTATTGATTGGGGGAAAAAGTAAAGCTGAAATATCATCTCAGCTTCAAGTACAATAAGCCTCCTCACAATGAAAAGGGTGTAGCTCTCTTTGAACAAAAGTATCAGAAAAAGGCCCTGGCCAAGTGGCTCAGTTGGCTTGAGTGCCATCTGTACACCAAAAGGTTGCAGGTTCGATTCCCAGTCAAGGCGAAGCGTACAGGAGGCAAACCATAGATGTTTCTCTCTCACATTGATGTTTCTCTCTCTCCTCCTCCTCTCTCTCTAAAAATCAATAAAAACATATCTTGGGATGAGCATTAAATTTTTTTTAAAGTATTAGAAAAAGTATGAGTCTATGAAGTAGCTCTACTGAGCAAGATACTTTAAACCATAGTTGCCTCTACATGCTCTTAATTTCCAGGAACTCAATAGTCGGCCTGTTATCAGGACTGTCACCTTCAAATATGCAAGAGAATTACCAACTCACCCCAAGTCAATGTAGCCAGGGTCAAGAGCTCAGGGACTGATTCCTGGCATACTACATATTCTGGAGAATACGGATCTGTTTGAACTTCAGAATCACGATAATCGGTCTGAGTGCCCACAGTATACTTTGAAGGGATGGGTGAAGGCCTAGTCAAAGCAGGAGGAGGAAAGGTATATGGCTCTAACCTAAAAAGAAAAATTATTTAAAAAATTAAAACCTGATACAATCACTTAGAATATTATATAATCAAGTAGAAATAAATCCTTGAGCTTCACTAAGTCCTTTCCCCCTTTAACACTGACAGGCCCAAAGTTACAAATCCAGTTTAACCAGGATTATGCCCATAATCTTGAGAGAATTGCCTTGTTTTTCTCACTTCTGCCAAGAAACTGAAGGGGTAGAAAACCCCAGATCTACTTACAAGAGTGCCTATTTATCTGTGTTATCCTTGGGCAGGGCTCTCATATACCGAGCTATAAAAGGTAGATTGTAGGATGTTATACAATTACTTCTGAACCTACTCAGAATTGCTACTTCCCTGGTTTCCTTCTTCTCTGCTTTTAGTTACACCCAATTTTAGCTGTTTCCCTTCAGAAATACAAATACAGGAGCAGAAAAAAAAGAGAAAAAAACCCCTCATCCCTTGCACAAAAATTTATTCCAGATAATTTTAAGTATTTAATTTAAAAATGAGACTAATAAAGTTCTAATGGAAAGCATAAATAAATATATCATCTTAAAAGCCAGAAACTATAGTCTCCCCCATTATCAACATCACTCGCCAAAGAGGTACATTTGTTACAAGTGATGAACCTATACTGACACATCATAATCACCCAAAGGCCATAGTTTCCATTAGGGTTCACTCTTGGTGTTGTATATTCTGTGGGTTTGGACAAATTCTTACATATATACGCATGCATGTATAATAACATGTGTCCACCATTATAGTATCATACAAAGTATTTCCCCTACCCTAAACATTTTCTGTGTTCCTCCTATTAATTCCTCCCCAGCCCCTGGCAACCAAATTGTTTTTATTAATCTCCATAGTTTTGCCTTTTCCATAATGTCATATAGCTGAAATCATACAGTATATAGCTTTTTCAGATTGTTCTCTTTCTCTTAGTAATATTTAAATTTCCTCCATGTCTTTTCATGGCTTGACAGCTCATTTCTTTTTAGCGCTGAATAATATTCCATTGTCTAGATGTACTTCAATTTATCCATTCACCTGCTGAAGAACATCTTGGTTGCTTCCAAGTTTTGGCAATTATGAATAAAACTTCTGTAAACATCTCGATGCAGGTTTTTTTGTGGACACAAGTTTTCAACTCCTTTGGGTAAATACCTAGGAGCACAATTGCTGGATTGTACGGTAAAAGTATGTTTACTTTTGTAAGAAACTGGCAAACTGTCTCTGAAGTGACTGTAGCGTTTTGTACTCCCACCAGCAATGAATGAGAGTTCCTGTTGCTCCACATTTGGTGTAGCCAGTGTTCTAGATTTTGTCCATTCTAATGGGAGTGTAGTGGTATCTCATTGTTTAAATTTGCATTTCCCTAATGATGTATGATGTAGAGCATCTTTTCAGATGCTTATTTGCCATCTGTTAATCTTCTTTGATCTGTTAAGGTTTTTGGTGCTTTTAAAAATCTGGTTGTGTTCTTATTGTTGAGTTTTAAGAAGGGTTTGGGATGTGTTTTTTTTGCATATTTTGGATAACAGTCCTTTATTAGATACGCCTTTTGAAAATGTTTTATGTAAATAGTATTATTCTTAATTTACATGTCAACTTATTTGCTGCTGATATATAGGAAAATAATTGACTTTATTATATCAACCCTGCTTCCTACAACCTTGCTATAAACACTTATTAGTTCCAGGAGGTTTTTTTTTTTTTTTTAGTCAATTCCTTCTGATTTTCTACATGGACAAACATTCACCTGCTAGCCAACAGTTTTATTTCTTCCTTCCCGATCTGTATACCTTTTATTTCCTTTCCTTGTCTCATTGTATTAGCCAGGACTTCCAGTGCAATGTTGAAAGGAGTGGTAAGAGGGGATATTCTTGCCTTATTCCTGATCTTAGTGGGAAGGCTTCGAGTTTCTATTAAGTATGATGTAGGTTTTTATACATGGTGAGAAAGTTCCCCTCTATTACTGGGTTAGTGAGGGTGTGTGTGGTGTGTGTTTGTGTGGGTTTTTTTTATCATGAATGAATATTGGATATTGTCAAATATTTTTCTTGCCTCTCTTAATATGATCAAGTAATTTTTCTTTTTTAGCCTTTTGATGTGATAGATTACATTGATTTATAAATGCCGAGCCAGCCTTGCACACCCATAATAAATACTACTGGGTTGTGTGATGTATAACTTTTTTATATACCTTGTTGGATTCAATTTGCTGATATTTTCTTAAGGATATTAATGTCTATGATTATGAGATCTATTGGTCTGTAGTTTTCTTTTTTTAAAATGTCTTTGTCTGCTTTTGGTATTAGGATAATGCTTGCCTCTTTTTTTTTTCTCCTTAATTAGCCTGGCTAGAGACTGATCAATTTGAGTGATCTTTTCAAAGAAGCAGCTTTTGGTTTTGTTGATTTTCTCTATTGATTTCCCTGATCAATTCCATTAATTTTTACTCTAATTCTTATTATTTCTTTTTTTCTGCTTCCTTTGCATTTAATTTGCTCTTCTTTCTCTAGTTCCCCAAGGTGGAAGCTTAGATGATTGATTTTAGATATTTCTTCTTTCTAATATATGCATTCAGTGCTATAAATTTCCCTCTAAGCACTGCTTTCACTGCATTCCACAAATTTTGATAAGTTGTATTGTCATTTTCATTTAGGTCAAAATATTTTTTCATTTCTTTTGAGATTTCTTCTTTGGCCCATGTGTTATTTAAAAATGTATTGTTTAATCTCCATGTATTTGGGGACTTTCAGTTATTTTTCTGTTATTAATTTCTAGTTTAATGCCATTGTGGTCATGGTATGATTTTTATGCTTTTACATTTGTTAAAATGTGTTTTATGGCTCAGGATGTGACCTATATTGGTGAATATTCCATGTGAGCTTAATAAGAATGTGTATCCTGCTGTTTTTGGATGAAGTAACTTATAAATATCAGTTATATCCAGTTGATTGATGGTGTTGTTGAGTTCAACTAGGGCCTCACTGACTGTCTGCCTGCTAGACGTATCCATTTCTGATAGAAAGATGTTGAAGTCTCCGACTACAATAGTGGATTCATCTATTTCTCTTTATTCCTGATAATTTTTCTTGCTTTGAAGTCTGTTCTATAAGAAAATTATTATAGCTACTGCCTCTTTCTTTTAATTGGTGTTACCATTGTATATTTTTTCTCCATCTATTTACATTTTTAATTATTAAAAAATATATATTTTTATTGATTTTTAGAGAAAGAGGAAGGGAGAAGGGGAGAGAGAGAGAGAAACATTGATGTGAGAGGGAAACAGTAATCAGCTGCCTCCTGCATGGCCCCTACTGGGGCTTGAGCTTGCAAGCCGGGCATGTGCCCAGACCAGGAATCAAACTGGCAACCTTCCGATGCATGGGATGACGCCCAACCAACTGAGCCACACAGGCCAGGGCTCCATCCATTTACTTTGAACCTATTTGTGTCTTTATATTTAAAGTGGGTTTGATGTTGACAAGATATATAGTTGGTTCTTGTTTTTTCATCCACTCTGACATAAGATATATATATATGATGTCCTCCAAAAATGTATACACACTTAAACAGTTGATAGCTGTAGATTCTAATATTTTGAAAATGAAATGTATTTTAATAAACACTGCCTTTATGTGTATACATTTTTTTGGACTTCCTGTACATAAGCACACATAATCAAATATACTGGTGTTATTTTTATTTTGGACAATCTGTCATCTGTTAGATCAATTAAGAAAAATAAAAGTGTTTAATTTACCTTCATCTTGTCTTTGATACTCTTTTTCTCTTTATGTAGATCCAAGTTTCTGACCTATATTATTTTCCTTCACTCTAAATAACTTCCTTTAACACTTCTTGCAAGGTAAGTCTAATGGCTGCAAATTCTCTCAATTGTTATTTCTCTGAGAGTCTTTATTTCTCCTTCACTTTTGAAGGATAATTTTGCAGAATTCTAGGTTGATGGGTTTTCTTCTCAGCATTTTACATTTTCACTTCTTTTTTCTTGCATGGTTTCTGACAAGTCAGATGTAATTCTTATCTTTCTCTATAGATGAGGTATTTTTGTCCTCTGGCTTCTGCCAGATTTTTTTCTCTATCTTTGATTTTTTTTTTTTTTAATTTGAAGATGTGTGCATGAGTGTAGCTTCGTTCATGCATTCATTGGCGTTTTTCCTGCTTGGTATTCTCTGAGCTTCCTCACTCTGTAGTTTGGTGTCTGATATTAATTTGGGGAAATTCTCAGTCATTATTGTTTCAAATATTTCTTCTGTTCCTTTCTCTCTTTCTTCTCCCAATATTCCCATTACATGTTATACCTTTGCAGTTGGTTCACAGTTCTTAGATATTCTGTTTCCTTTTTTGAGTTTGTTATCTTTGTTCTCTTTGCCTTTCAGTTTGAGAGGTTTCTATGAGATTCTTTTCTCAGCCATGTCCAGTTGACTACTGAGCCCCTCAAAGGTATTCTTCACTTCTGTTTCAGTGTTGTTGTTGTGTTTTACTTCTTTCTTAAGATTTCCATCTCTCTGTTTACACTGCCTATCTGATCTTGCATGTTGCCTACTTTATCCATCAGAGCCCTTAGCATGCTAAGAGTAGTTGTTGCAAATCACTGTCTTATAATTCCAACATCCCTGCCATGTTTGGTTCTTATGCTTATGCTCTTTACAAATTGTGTTTTTTGCCTTTTGGTATGACTTTTAATTACTTGACAGACAGACATGATGTATTATTTACAGAAGAACTACTGTAAATAGTAGACCTTTAGTAATATGGTGGTAAGGTGAGGGGAGGGGATGCACTCTATTGTCCTATGATTCGGTCTCAGTCTTTCAGTGAGCCTCTGGACTGTGAACTTCATGTTTCTCAGCACCCCCACCTCCCCCTTAGGTGGGGCAGGATGGCCAGAAGGAGCTGGAGTTGGATATTTCCCTTCCCCCAGGTCAGTTAGGCTCTGCTAATAACCCAGCAGGTTAGGCTGTGGTTAAGTACTTTCTACTGAAAGCTGACCTTGTTAAGAAGAACAGGGTGCTCTGGAATATTTCAAAATGATTTCATTTCCCCTCCCCCTGCCATGAAGCATGAGAGCATTTTTCTCCTATATTTATTATTAAAATCTTGTTGAGTTCCTTGGGGAAAATCTCACAAAATTGTGAAAGCTCCCCATGACTGGGTCCTCTGAAAGTTTCTAATTCTCAGAGTTTCTGACAATGAGCCTCCAGTAATTCGTCAACTACAGTTCAGGTTTTCCTACCTGGGACTGTTTCTCAGGGCAGTTTCTACTCACTGATCTCTTTTCTGGGAAGACATCACTCCCGTGTTCATCTGTCTGTCTCTCTAATCCTGGGGCAGCAGTTTGCCCTGTGTCCTCCCCGCTCTATAAATCCAAGGAAAACTGTTGATTTTCAAGTATCTGCAGCCTTTTACTTATTGTTAGGACAGTGGCAACTTCTAAGCTCCTGACATGGGGAATTAGAAACCACCATTGAAAGTGTTTAAAATATTAGCTTTGTATCCTTTTTGCCAAGATGCTTACATAGAATCCAAAGTCACAACCCCAACAGGTAGCAGTGAAAAGGGGTGGCTGGAGAAGACCAGCTGGTCCCCAGACAAGTGCATCCCTGCTAACATAAGGCGGGAGATCTCCGTAACTCAGAAACTCACCCCAGCCAGAATCCCAGAGTTCACTTCACTCAGGGATACACGTTCATTCTTTAAACACTTGTAAGAAAGACAAAGACCACCTAGAGTGTCAACCATCAGGTTTAACTCTCAAAGGGAATGTTTATCCCTTACGTCACAGTTATTTACAAAGGAGTGAGACACCCACAGTTCATCACTGTAGACCTCAGAACTCCCCACAATTAACTGAACAACTTGTAGACCTGATGTAATGATGGCCTCGAAAGCAGGTGATCCAGTGAGCCTGCTTTTAAAGAATTACCAAAGGTATGTATTGGGATCCACCTGTCTCATAGCTCCCCCTTTGCTCTTACAAAGCATTTCATGGAAGCCCAGTCTGCAGCTGTCCCTAGGTAAACTGACACCACACGAAGTTGCTCTATCTAGGGGGAGAGCAGAGAATCTATTCTCCATCTACGTAAGAGCTTAAGATGTCCATACACAGTCTTAAAAAATCAGAGGAGAACTGGGATCATAACTGACACTTACCTTACAGACTACAGACATTTTATAACATATATTTTATTCATAAGATGCTATCTCACTAGGGCTAACCAAATCCTTGTTTGAAAGCCAAACCCTATTTAAATTTCTATTCAGAAATTTGAGACCTTAAAAAAGGTTTCTTTTCCTGATCATCTCATGAATACCTTGGATTTTTTTCTCTTGTAGAAATATTAAATTATATTGACATAGGAAAGAGCACAGCAAAAATTAGATTTATAATGGAACATTTTACCTAACCTGCTGCTTCACCTTAAAATAAAAAACTGAGGGACTGCACATTAATCCCAGATTCAGCCCTTGTCTGCTACTTCCCTCTCACCCTGGTTCACTCCCTTGTGGGACAGAAACCATGTTTTATTTCTTTTTTGTATAACACATTGCTTTGTGTAGACTAGAATTCTAGTATTCAGAAAATATTTCATGACAGATTAGCTTTCTTGATAAAATGAAGAACTGTTGTCAAATAAGTGTTTCAGGAAAGCAAAAAAAAGAACATTTAAAGCATTTTTCAACTTTATTTTTACCATAACACATAATAAAAAATACATTTACATCATAACCATTATATACATATATGTATACATATATCCAAAACAAAAATTATAAAGTAAAAAACAACTTATCCTCCATATGGCTGATGCTTTTGGTTATTTTCTCTTCTTTTTCATTTTTTAAAATCCTGCTCATAATCCCCTAGCAGATTTCATGACATCTAATGGTTTGTGATCCACAGTTTGAAAAATATTGATTTAGAAAACTATCTTCTGGAAACAAATATGGAAGTAAACAATAAATAAAATAAACTAGAAAAAGAAGTTTTAAAATAATGTTTACTTACTTGGTTGATGCCAAAACAACACTGCGTGGCATCTGTTCAGTGTATGGAAGGAAAGGCCTGGGGAAAGAAGGAAAACACAAACACGTGGGACTTTTGCGTTGTGTGCACTCTGAGCTTTCTTCCAACTTTAAAATCAGTGAGCTTGAATATCCCGTATACGAGTAATCCTCAAACTTTTGACATTCACAAAATCACTAGGGAGTGGGGAGATTCTTGTTTAAAATGCAAATTCCCCAGCCTAGACCAGGAGATTCAGTAGATATATGGCAGAGCCAATGAATCTGCATTTTTCACAGTCATTCCAGTGTTTTCTCTGCAGGTGGGAAACAAGGTACACTTTGAGAATAGCTCCCAGAAACTTCTCAAGTTCCCTGAGACATTCTGAAATTCCCAATGATTTAGTTTTAAAAACTTCCCCCCCAAAAGTCTAGAAATTCTGTATACTATGTTAAGAATTCAATATTTCTCTGAAAAAGTCAGCATCATAAAATTTCCATAAGGAGTTTGCTCATAAATAATAATGTGGGTTACAAATTCATTTTCTCAAGGAAGTTTATGTAGATATACCAAGACTATTTTTCTAACTCAGGTAAGACCTACAGAGAAATCCTTACCTTATTTTAATTTGACCTGAGTATATGATTATCTCTTGAGTATTAATCACAAATAAAACAAAGTGAATCTTTGACCATGTTAGTTTTGGCAACACTCACACAAGGAGAGCAAATGTCATCTATTTGCTTCCTTTTTCCTGCACTGTTAAGGTGTGCCTACTACATCTCACTTCACATGATGACTTCATTTTGTTCTCAAATATATTCTCATTTGCAATTAAGTACCTCTGAAGTCAGGCAGACTTAGTTGGAATCCCAGCTCTGCCACTTGCTAAGTTAGGTGACCCTGACCAATTTATTGTCCTCTCTTGGTTTCAGCTTCCTTACTGGTAAATGGGGATAATATATCCTATCTTACATTTCTGTTAAGTGCTTTACACATATATTTCTGTTGTAAAAATATATACGTAAAGCACTTAAAGTGGTGCCCGGCACATTGCATGCACTTAAAAAAAACAGCAGCTCTAATTATCATAAAGAGGTTCTCTCACAATATCAGGGCTCATATTCAATAGTAATTACTTTTTACCTTTCAAAATATTTATAGCGATTCTTTCCAGTAACATCAGGATCTTCATAAACTTTTTCAGGAATCTGAAAAGAAGTATCGATTCTGAAATGAAGCAGGAAAATATTATTCAAGTTTAACATATTTCCAAATATAATTTCCATTTAGTATTTCTATATCTATAAAGTAGGAGATACAAGGGTATTCCAGACTGAGAGCAAAGTCTTCTATAACACACAACTGACTGACCTACATCTCAAAGTAGATATAATTACTTTCCCTGAGCCAGGAAACCTGGAGCTAATGAGAGACAATGAGAATTAAGAGTTGATTCTCATAGACACAAAGAACAGACTGATGGTTGAAAGAGGGGAGTGGCGTTGGGGGGCTGGGTGAAAAAAGGTGAAGGGACTGAGAAGTACAAATTGGCAGTTACAGAATAGTCAGGAAGATGTGAAGTGCAGCACAGGGAATATAATCAATACAATTGTAAAAACTATATGTGGTGCCAGGTGGGTACTAGAAATATCAGGGGGAACACTTTGTAAAGTATATCATTGTCTAAACACTATGCTGTACACCTAAAACCAACACAAAATATATCAAGTGTCAACTGCAATTGAAAAATGAAATTTAAAGTTTTTTAAAAAATAAATGACTTGATTTATGAAAAGAAAAACAAGAGTCCATTTACGAAAGCCCACATTTTTTAAAATGCCTACTTTTAATTAATAACATGAGAGTAACAAAGTTTTAAAAGACAACTTTTGATGTCCAGGCTGAAAGGTAGCAACAACAACAAAAAAATTTACTAGGTATAAACTAGTAAATAATTAAAAGAATAAGGAATTCAAGAGACTTGTCTCTGAAGGTTCGGGGGCTACAAGTCTCCAAAACATATATTTAGATACTACCAGAAGAGTGCACTTCCAATTTCTAAGATGGATCAAAGGAACACAAATTCAGTCACCTCCACCTGTGATGGCAAGTTGTATGTGTGTGTGTGTGTGTGTATATATATATATATTTTTTTTCTTCTTTTCACTCCAACCTTCTGAGAACAGCTGCTAACCAATAAACCTAAAACCCTGAATCAGGGTTGTTTGGTCAAAAGGGTTAAGAGAGAGAATTTGGGGTCAATTGGCCTAGGTATAACATCACAATTGTACATTTTAAAATAAAACAAAATAAATATTTTTAATAAGAAAAATACATTCATTAAAAACATGAGCAGCAGCTGAAGCTACTGGACACTTACACAGCAAGTTGCTGGAGGGTTTCTCTGTGTGTGTCCTCGTGTCCCTTCCATTTCCGACTGATGAATGGTGGGACGGGATCAGCCTTGCTCCAATATAGAGAAGATCTTGGGTAATGGATCAGGTCACTGAACATGGTCCTAAACCTGGGAACCTTTCCCTAATGTTAGCACAGGGATGCAGGGAGAAAAAAGACAAAATGATACCACTCAATTTTCTAAATCATTTTACTTATATTGTAAACTTCTTTTAAAGGTACAGGAGAGTACATATGGCATAGAAAGAAGGGTCATTGGCATATGCATAGACTGTCTCTGGAAGAATGCCCAAGAAACTAATGACAATGAATGATTATGTGAAGGGGACAGAGGGTTAGAATTTACTTCATACTGTATACGCTTTTGTAATTCTTGAATCCTTTTAATACAGGCATATGCTACTTTTCCCACTGAAATAAATTAGGCTATAATGAGTCCTTTATTCATTACTAGTTAATTAATCCTCACATTGGGCTGCAAGTATGAAGATGCCTTTGTCCCCTAGTAATTACGGCAAAGTAATTTCTGTAGAATATAAACACCAATGGATATTAGTTGAGACGTCAATGTTGTCAGTGTGGTTAGCCACACTAGATGGCTCAGGTTCATTAGGCTGCCTCAGTGAGTGAATTAGACCTACCAGTCTGCTTCGACTCAGGAATGCTTGGACATTTGCCTGCGTGTGGTCTTTCTCACTTGACACAATAAACAATGGATCTGCGAAATACACAATAGGGTAGTATAAGGAACAGAACGTATCTACTCCTAGGCTGAGAACAATGGCAAAACACAGTAATTTCTTAACTGGAAAACAAATTAGAAATTTTAGATCTCGCCTAACTCTGCAACAGCTCATATAGCCCTGTTATTCTACCACTATTGAGAGTCTGTTAGATGCACTTCTTTTCTGTGCATTCCAAAGTCAGTTGATAGAATTGGAATGGAAAAAAGGTCTAATATATTCTCAAGCACCAAAACTTACACATGCTTTCTTTTAGTCTATGCACAAACCAGTTTCTGGGTCTGGGAAGCCCAGGAAATAGTACAAAAGGAAAGAACATGTATACACACACTATGCCCATCTGCAAGTGAAAGAAACAATAAATTCGGGCACTACCTCCCATTCCAGTACACAGGGAAGACACAAACTCTTCACAGCATATTGTCTCTGAATGGGTCAACATGGTAAGAAAATGTCATTCTCTAATAAGAGATAAATAAGATCAGCTATCTTCAGAATTCACCCCTTAAGTTTACAGGTATGTTAATTATAGGACTAAATTATTTCTCCCAAGTTCAACAAAAGATTGATATATTGAGAATAGTATGGAGTAAAGGGAAATTTCTATTCATATTTTGGCTTTAAGTCATTTAAAAGGTATCACCAGGTCTACGGTTGCAATTGTGTTGTTCATCTAAAATATGTTTAGCCTGCATAAACTCTGAGTCTAAATAATAAATAATAAACTGTTCTCCTCTTATGCCCACAAGGAGTGTGAAGACATGATATCTATAGAAACATTCTTGCCATCTGTAAAAGATAAGGGCACAATACTGTATGATTTGTGACTACACATTTGGCAATATATCCTACAACTGTGACCATAATCGGTGCTCAAAAAATAGTAGAGGGAGCATTTGAGATCTTGACCCCAAGCTTATGTTGTCAGTTTGACTCAAATAAATTCATAGATAGTCTCGAAAAAAATGGAGTAGAAAGGCCTCTGAGATGCCCAAGTAATAGCAGTCACCAGGTATCACTTGCTTACCTCCTAGACAGGTATTAAGTGTTTTATATACAAAATTCTACTTAATCTTCACAAAACCCGATGAGGTAGGTGCTAGGCATCCATTTTATAAGTGAGGAAACTGAGGCTTCAGAAGTTAGCAACTTACTGATCAGCAGGATTTGAAACCCAATCCTTCTGGCTCCCAGGCTGAATATTATCGAAAGCCCATGAATTCTATGAGGGAAATTTTCCCATGAATATTGTGAGAGAGCCTCTCAGCCAATTTACCCATATTGTAGAAACAGTTCTAACAAGTCCAACAAGTCGTCACAACCAAGTAATGGTGAGAGGAAGTATTTCAAACCCCAAGACATAACAACTACTTTTAGGGGAAAGTATAACAAATTGCAGATTCTGTGGAGAAATAAAAGGAGAAAAGAACTCATGATAAACCTAGAAAGTATTTTAAAATATTTTTGGAAGCTAGGAAAAATTTATCATCTACTTAAGAGACTTTAATTATCAGGGCAGAAGTGTAGCTACTAATCCATCAACAAATGTACAGATTCAAGGAAGTGACAAAGCATAGTGGGCACTTCAGAAGAGGTACATGACACACAGCATTTACAAAAAAAGGAGTGAAATGCAGTTTATAAAAGAATGATATTACGCCCAGCCGGGAATGGCTCAGCGGTTGAGCATCAACCTAGGATCCAAGCGATCGGGGTTCGATTCCTGGTCAGGGCACATGCCCGGGTTGTGGGCTCGATCCCCAGTCGGGGTCGTGCAGGAGGCAGCCGATCAATGACTCTCATCATTGATGTTTCTATCTCTCTCTCTCCCTCTCCTTTCCTCTCTCTGAAATCAATAAAGATATATTTTTTTTTTAAAATGATATTAATTGTAAAACACTATACAAATGTAAGGTATCTGAATTTATCTTAATCACTACCGTAATCAGAAGAGTAAAATTACATTTAGTGACGATGCCCTAGCAAAGCTTCCTAGAGGAGCAAAAGCCTTGAGTAGACAATTAACTACATTGAAAGGCCATTGGGTTTGAGGGGTGGGAGCAGAGGAAGGGCGAAAGAGCCTGGAAAGGTGTTCATATTTGTACCATTGACCCCCATACCCACCCCGGCAAGCAACTTATTTCTCTCTTCAATTTTCAGTTAAGAGAGATAAGGACTTTATTCAATTGGCTAAGAAATCATGTGGAGTGCCACCCCAGTCCCTGTCATAGCAAAAGAAATCCATACATAAGAGGCCTTTTGTCATGGAAGATGGAAGAAGGAAACATATACAAAGAAAGAAGCAGGGTTCAAGTCGCCAGATAAAATATAACATGGCCAATTAAATTTGAATTTCAGATAAGCAATGAATAACCTTTTATATAAATGCGTCCCAAATACTGTGTGAGACTAAAACTGTATACCAAAACAGTATTCATTATTTGTCTCACGTTCAGATATAAGGATGTGTCCTGTTGTGTTTGGGTTTTTTTAAATCTTTACCTGAGGATATGTTTTTATTTATTTTTTAGAGAGAGAGAAAAGGAGAGAAGGGGAGAGAAAGAAAATGAATCTTTTATGTGAGAGAGAAACATCGACCTGTTGCCTCCCATATCCTCCCCGAATGGGGATGGAACAGGCAGCCTAGGTATGTGCCCTGACTGGCAGTCAAATCTAAACCTTTTAGTGTACAGGACAACACTCCAACCACCTGAGCCAACCGACCAGGACAATGTGTCCCCTATTTTTATTTGCCAAACCCGCTAACCCTAACAGGGTGAAAGACCATAAGATCCAAGAAACTGAACAGGAGGCCACGACACCTTAGTTCTGACTATATTATGCTTCCTGTCCATGAGTAGCTGTGGGACTGCCTGTTTTGTTAGAACAATCCAGACTTTCATTTGACCTGCTCTGCAAAAAAAAAAAAAGTTACTTTTAAGAATAAAAGAAATAAGGAGCTTAATAATTTGCCTGTCTTTACGAAGGAAGGTGTCTATCCCTAGTCCCAAATTACCTTTGAAACAATTACGGTGTGTGTTTAGAGGAGTTTACTAGATTTATTTTATAAGATGAAACCAAGAGCAAATAAAGAAAACCACTGGACAGAATACACAGCCCCTATACCAGCAAATGAGTACTCTATATGATTCCCATGCAAAGGAGACCCTGAGAATCCCAGAGGATACATGACATGGCTAAAAGCAATGCAAGTTTCAGGTGAAGAGCCTGGGCCTACTGAGGCAAAATTGGAAAAAAGTCATGCTTAACGATTGTAAGTTTTGTAATAGTAAATTCAATAATTTAATGAGGCACCAGCACTGAAAGAGGTAGTGAGAAGGCTTCGAAAACGTTCAGAACAAGAACTTCCAGTATGAGACAGAACATAAATGAACGATCCTGGCATTACAGTAAACTGGGGTTTTATTGGCCCAGAAGGACTCAGTGGACCTAGTTTATAAGCAGTGCTTCAATGAATAAGAATAAGTTTAAAGAAAAAGACAAAACTAAAACCTAAGGTGAGATAAATTGGCACTTTATTGAGAATGCCAAATGTGGAGGTGTCCAGAGACTGGGAGCGGGAAGGTCCTTCTTGTTGCGCATTTTATACAACGGAGCGGAGGAATGTTGAGTGACTCTCCAAGTCTGCAAATCACTGCAGACTTTTCTGGACACTGAAACTCCCAGGAAGATCGCTTAAAGCCGTGCAAATTATCCGGAGGAGAGGGTGGCGCGGCGTGAGGCGCCCGGCGCGGGGCTGGGGGGCGCTGAGCGCGTCGGCGGCCGCCGAGGAGCCCGAGACCGCCGCCCCTGCGGGGCTCGCAGCTGCCGCCACCCAACGGAGGACAACCGCGGGCAAGGGTTTCGACCTCAGGCTCGCCTTCCGGTCGCCGCTCCCTCGGCCAGGTCCCACGGTCTACCTGGGCCACCTAGAACTCAGGGGGAAGGTGGGGGCAGCCTTACCGTACAGGAAGTCATACGTCCGGCTGGAGGAGGCTTTGCCCCTGGCCCCCCACTTCACCTCGCACCGGGCTTGAGACACCAGGGGCTTGGCCAGGGGCTTCGCGACGGTCATAACTTGGCTCATGGTGCCGCCTCCTTCCTCCCGCCAGCAGGGGACCAAACAGGTAGACGCGGCGTCTGCGTGCACCGTAGCTATGGTAACCTGGCCGTAACGTGAGGATGAGGGGCGTGGCGAGGAGCGGCAGGG